GGATTTAAACATTACCTTTGTCCGAATACCTTTGAATAGATTGGTTACGCAACCAAAATTCAGCAGATCGACCAATTATCCTAAACTTGAAGAGGAACTTGCTGAATGGGTTCGAGCTTTACGTGACAAATTAAAACCAGTTAGCCATATTATGATACAAAATAAAGTTGTATCATTAGCAAAATCTCCAAAATATATTCTTTACTATTCTAATATCAATAATTTTAAGTGGAGTAACAAGTGGCTTGATGGTTTTTTACGACATAATAATTTTAGTAACTGTCATAAAACAACTGTTGTGCAAAAATTACCAGCAGAATTAGAAACACAACGGCAAGAATTTCTTAATTTTGTTCAATATCGCCGTATTCAATATGATTATCTGTTACAATTAATGGGCAATATGGACGAGACTCCTCTTTCTTTTGATATGCCAAGAACGTAACTATAGATAATAAAACCATTAGTATTAGGACTTGTGGTTATGAAAAATCTTGCTTTACCGTTGTGCTTGCATGTTTGGCGGATAGCACGAAATTACCTCCAATGATCATTTTTAAGTTAAAAAATATTCCACGGCTTGAGTTTCCATCAGGTGTAGTTATTAGAGCTAATGCAAGTGGATGGATGAATGAAATGGAAATGAGTTTTTGGATAGATAAGATTTGGCAAAATCGTATACCAAATTCTGAGAATTCACAGTCACTTTTAGTAATGGATTCTTTTCGGGATCATTTAGTTCCTTTTATTAAAAATAAGCTTGCTGACAAAAGTACTAATATTGCAATTATTCCTGGAGGGTTAATGTCGAAACTTCAACCACTTGATGTATCAATTAACAAACCGTTTAAAGCAAAGGTATTTCTTTTTTATTTTATTTTTTTTTCATAGTTAATATATGTTAATGCACCTTTTTATTAATAGATTAGAAATATGTATGATGAATGGATATTACAAGAAATAAGAGAATTAACTGAATCTGGATGAATTAAACGTCCTCCGTATAATATAATTGCAGAATGGATTAAGCGTGCATGGGATGATATTGATACTCAGCTAATT